TCATTTCTTGGCATGTCCTTCATCTGTTCCTTTTTTCTGTTTACATGGAAAGATCTGCAGGACAAAGACCTTGGATCTCATTATCCTCTCACTTAAATAAGTTCTCATAGGTATAACTCCTCAAGCTAAAATGGATTTACTTTTGATTGACACCGCTGCATTCCTAAGAAGAATCGTGCCTCTTGGCTTCAGCTGTGTTACTTGCTGTCCATACCAAAAGAAACAAAAAGAGGATCAAGCCCAAAACTGACCCACATATGTCTCCAAAATGACTATAACAAGCTTGATCCATAAAAAAGAATAAATAATAAAAAGTAAATTGTTCTGGAATCTTGAAAAGTATCACTGTAGTTGGGTTTAAGAAACAGGAGAGGATAATAGGTATTGGTTTCTTCCCCTGCAATAATTCACTATAATATGCAATGATTTTTTTTAAAAGCAACATTTTCAAACATGAGGGCCAAGAGTAGACTCCTGAACAGTGGCAGTCCTGGAGGGTTAGAGCCTTGGAAAAAATCAGGCCTTTTATTTAAAGATCAAAGTCAAAACAACTTTATAGGCATCTAAACAGCATTTAGGCAAAATTTGGGTGATCTAGTTTGATCCCATTCCAGCAGCTGCAAAAGCTCTTAGGTGCCTAGATTCATAAGATCCATGTGTTTTTGCCTGAAAAGATCCCTAGGCATCTCAGCTTAGGCTATTATGAATTATTCCTGGGTGCTAGAGGGCCACTAAGCTTGCACCTCTTGCCTAAGATCCATTGTAATTGATGCTGTCCCACATTTTGCCCAAATATCTAGTGGTTCAAACACTCATCCAAAAGCAGGAGGCCTGGTTCCCTGTCATCCTCAGGGCAAAAAGACTTAAATCCACATCTCCTACTACCCATAAAAGAGTTCTAGCTACCATGCTCTCAGCTAGTCTAGGTGGAGGATCTTTCCATCCTTCATATATAAGCCATGTTAAGGGGCAGCCAGATTAGAAGCCAAAAAAAGAGCAATCAATTAAAGCACTGGCAGCTGGGGCCAAAACACTAAAAAGCCTGTTTGTGACAGTTTCTTCAAGACCCACTGTGTTTGACACAGGCAAGCAACACGCATACACACAGGCTGGGAAACTGAAGACCTGTACCACACTGTTCCATAACAGAGATAAGGACTGTCCATCTGTTCCATAACAGAGATAAGGACTGTTCCATAACACAGTCCATGTTGGCCAAGTCACAGTGCCTACCTGCAAGGCCCTTGGGATTTCCAGTTTTGGGGAACAGACCAAATTAGGGGAATACTGGTAAAATTAGGATGTATGCATGTGATGGGCTTGTGAAACAAAGGAATATACTAACAGAACAGAACATGGACAGTATGACGACCGAAGGGAGACCAATCAGCAATGCCCAAAGATGAAGAGTCATCAGAGGAGAGAAAGAATACAAAAGGAAGGATTTTAGAGCAGCAAAATAAGAGGGGAACCCAAGGCCACTATGGCAGAGGGCATGCCACCAGCCCATCTCACTCACCCCACTGTGGGGGGGTGGGCCTTGGCCTCCAGCCTCCAGGCTGCTGACATCTGACATTCAAGAGAGAACCTCAGAGTGAAGTTCGCATACTGGACAGACATGCCTCGACTTTGTGAACCCTGGGACTGGTAGATATAGAATTGTTTGCATTATTCTTATCTGCCATCACTGTGAATCAAAAAAATTCACCTATTATAGAATGGAGAAGTTGTGTTTGGTCTGAGGGTTTGGGTCTGCCCGAAATAAGGTATCTGGGTCATAAATCTAGTGCCAACCCTGTGATATATTCTTTGTTATCCTATCTAGTACTATTTAAATGATGTCACTTTGTGTGCTTCCTCATGTTTGGGGTCCCTGCTCAGAATAATAATGTGGTGCTTGCTCTCTCCTGCAATCTAACCTTCTCACCACTGTAGAGTACTGCACCTCCCCTCTGGGTCCCAAGCATCCTGAGGTGATGGGAGCACTTATTATACAACCCTGAGTGAGATACCTAAGCTCTGTGGAGGTCAGACATAACCCTATACCTAGAATTCCCTATTCACTAACTCAACACCTAGCTGTCTGGATTCTGGATTGCCCTGAAGGTGCTTATGACTTCTGCTTCACTGTGAAGGGAGCCTACAGGAATACATGGCTAACTCCTCTTCTGCTTCTCCACTTCTCCCCTATGTGAAGTTAAGAGGCTAACTTTAATGAGTTACAGAACTAACTCAAGATGTTCAGATTGTTAATCCAAAATCACTAAATCATAGAGAAGTAGGTCTGGTCTCCACAGGTCATCTAGTTCAGCCCTCTGCCTGAGACAGGATGATTCCTATCCAAGTCAATCTATACAAATCCATTGTCTAACCTCTTAGCAAAACTTCACAGTCACCCCTGACACAACACAAGACTTAACACCCTAACCTGCCACAGGTAAAACAGGGGGATCATGGTAGCCAACTTCTTGCTGCTACAAAGATTGATAACATACACTCAAGAGAACCCAGAAAGAGGGCCACATCCCAGGCTACAGAGGAAGGCAAAAAAAACCCACAGGTCATACCAATCTGACCATGGGGTAAAATTCCTTCCTGATTCCAAATATGGTGATCAATGGGCACATCTACATGTGCACTTTACTGCTCAGTAGACTAATCTGGGCACCATCTACATGTGCACAACAATTAGGGCAAAGTAGACTAATTTACTGTGCCATCAGATAGTCCCATCAGACACAAGTACCAAGCAGCAACACAGTAAATTACTGCACTTAAACTCACGTGTAGATGGTGATGGAGTTGGCTGGGGCACATGGGTGCTTCAGTGTTGGGCTAGTCGGTAGGCAGACCCACACTGAAGTACCCTCATGCCCAACCCAGCCCCTCTTTAGCACAAGGAGCCCCAGAGCTGCTCCAAAGGGGCATGCTCCAGAATGGCTAACTGAGGCCCAAGCAGCCCCTTCACTAAAGTACTCCCAAGCCTCAACCACCCCCACCCCCTCCTCCCACAGCACACAGAGCCTGGTTGGAGCAGCCCTGGTCTGGAAGGGGATCTAGGGGGACAGCTGCTTAAATAAACTCAGAAGCTAATTGCTTCATTCAAACATGCTCCCAGGAGCAAAAAACTCCAGAGCAATTAGCTCCGGAGTTTAGTCTTGCTAAATCCATTAATTGCAGCTGGAGACATGCCCAGTCTGACCGTGGAACCACTGGCATTAAGTCCCAGGAAGAACATCAGCACACCCCAATCACAATCTCCAGCCTTGGCTGCAGCCAACACCTAATGCCTCTGAGGAAGCTTTAAAAAAACCCTGACACAGTGCAGGAGGACTTCCCTCCCAACCCCATGAGACAACCAGTAAAGCCCAGAAGCATGGAAAATATCCATAGTAGAACATAGGCATAGCTCCTCCTAGATCATCCTCGACCAGTAGCTCTCAAACCTCTTCTTGAACACCTCCAGTGATGGAGAGTCCACATCTTCCCTAGGCTGTCTAGTCTACTACCTCACTGTTCTAAATTTGAAGTAGATGCACACAGAATTTACTCATTGGAGTATACTCTTTATCCACAGAAACAGCTAATTCAGGATGCAGGGAATTACCTAACTGCTCTCTACATCTGGGGAGAGGTGGGATTTCAAACGGACATCCTTCCTCCACATTTCCTATTGGCTGACTTAGGCACCATAGCACATTAGCTATGGTGAATCCCTATCCCTGTCTCCCCCTTCAAGGCCTGGAGACTTGAATGCGTATCTCAGGTTTTAAATTTCACTTCTAGAGTATATCCCTAAATTTAAGCTGAGGTGATGCTCTATGTGCGCTCAACTAAATTGCTTTTTTTTTTTTTTTTAAATCTAGCTCTAATTGCTTAACTTTAGGCATCTACGTTTAAAAATGTAAGCCTATGTCTATGACATATATAATTTGATATTTCATGAGACTATTTAAATGTACCGTAAAACCAATTAAATATATTTCTGTGCATTTCTAAGCACCCGTCTGGGTATCAACACACCTATGATCTCTCTCCATAATTTACTAAGGGCTGATACAAAGCTCTTTGAACTCAATGGAATGAATTCCATTAACTTCAATGGACTTTGAATCAGATGCACACTCACTGGAGTATATTTTTTAGTTAATGTTCTCCACAGAATATTTTATTACTGGGAATATTGATCTTTTAGTTGGAGTTATTTTTAATTTGTTTTGAAACTTTGGAGAACAGAAAATACAATATGGTAATTTGCCTGACAAAGCAGCTAGAATATAGCAGACAAGCAAACACCCCAGGATTCTGATTCCTGGAGTTTCTGTTTCTGAAAGTTATTGAAGATCCAAACTTTTGAATGAGTTTGTGCCTTAAGATCAAAGTGCCTGAATCACAACTCATCTCAGTTATAAATTCAACCTGTCGTCATCTTTTTTATCATCACAGAGTCATTCAACCTTTGTCATCTACCAGGCACATACAAGTAACCACAATAGGGGAAATAGCTTGTCTGGGCATCAGTACAGAAGAACCTGTTATCCCTATACAATTCAAAAGACAGAGCATGCCTGCCTTGAGTAAAACAATACAACACAATTCAATTAGGCATAAAATACACCGCTAATGGCCACTTGATTTTTCATGGTTTAAAATGGACAGGCACACTGAGATTTACAGTCCCCCAACCATCCATTTTCCATTTGTTATAAGGGAAACTGAACTTTCTTCTGAGTTGGAAAACTAACTCAGAAATTGTGCTACTATATGCACCAAATAAATACCTGATGATACTAAGCTTCAATTGTTTTCCATATTTTGGAGGTGCACTGTGGGGAGCAGGAGGCCAGAAGTGGGGGGAAGAGGATCAGTCATTGATACAGAAGAAAAACAGCTGACTTGTTGTTTCAGGTAAGTCTCTAGCAATCAATTAATTGCTTGATCAATGCAGCATGATCTAGGCAGCTTAATTGAAGAGAATTAGCACTTAAAGAAGCTCATTTCTCCAGAGGGGGACCACTGTCAGTAAAGTTAACAGCCTTTAGAAATGCAGCTGCCTCATTTGATTCAGGAAGAAAAACAGTGTGAAATCAGATATAAGTACATCACAGATAATTGACATCCAGAGTGATACCCTTCAACAGGAAGTCTTCAGACTGCAATTTCACTGACACCCACAGGCTCTGGTGGTGAGTCTGCCAACATATATATGTTCACATTTGGAGCCTAGCAGTGGGAAGGTATGAATTTTTTATTGTACTATTGCAATGTTGAAGCTGATTCTTCCTGAAAGGAGTAATGCCCTTTTAAAGACTAAAGAAAAATATCCCTGCAGGATTTTTTTAATTATGCTCTTGCGGTAACTACTTGTTAGCCACAGTAGAAAATGAGTTATATTAAATATTGTTTATATTTGAACAGAAGGGTGCACTGAATTGAGATTTCCTCATTTCATTGCCTTGCATTGCAATCTCATTGCCTTCATGTGGGTACCTACCTAGTGCTGTTTAATGATTGTGAAGGTAGACAAAGGCTACAGTGGAACAAGATCTCCAATTGTCTTGGCCTTCTTGCCTTTGAATTAAGTATAATGAAGACTTACAATGACAACAGGAGACAGAAAAGTGGGAGCGGCAGAAGCCACGTGTCATGGACTAGATCAAGACTCCAGAGCCACGCACCCTGGAAGAAAAACACATTCCTAAATTGCAACAGAGTCTCTCAATCCAAATCTGTCCCATCAGCCATCCTCAAACCCACAGATAAGACAATCATTCTCAACTGCTGAAAAACAAAACCTACTGCTATGTGCTCAGGAAGGGAATAAAATAACTGCCCTGAAATCCTAACACCAGCCACATAATACATGCTTACTAGGCCTGTGCAAATAGGTAACTACTTGATTCAGACTCGGATTTGGCTGATTCAGATTCAGCCAATTCGATTCAGAGATTCGAATTGCTTTTATGATTCGATTCAGCTGAATCGATTTGGAAAAGATTCGGCAATTTGGCCATAAGGTATAATGGGGAGTCAATTAAATATCTATACCTTTGCTATTTTTTGGTTGATTTGGATGAACCTTACTGAGATGGTAGCCTTTGCTGAGAGCATGACACTGGCCAAGTTTCAAGCAGATATGTGCAAGGGTTTCTGGGAAACTGCACCTCAAAATCTTGAAAGCAAAATTCATGTCACGTGTGACTGTTAAGCCACAGTGGACTGAAAACTGCAGAGATGGTAGTTCTTGCTGAGGCCAAAAAGCCTGCTATATTTTAAGGAGATAAGTGCAGGGGTTTCTGGGGAAACTGTACCTCAAACTGTTGACAAGCAAAACTCATGACATAGGTGACACTGCGTGTGTGTTAAGGCACAGGGGGGTGAAAACTACAGGCCTGCTAGGGCCTGCTGCAGCCACAAAGTCTGCCAGCTGTCAAGCTGGGATGGCTTATCTTGTGTTTTTATGTTTTATATGTTTATGATGAGGAAGGGGGAAAAAAAAAAAAAAAAAAAGCGAAATAGTTAGAAAAATACCTCTTAGGAAGCTTTCAGGTTGAAAAACCCTGTGTCAGGCTGACGAAGTATGTGCATTTGGTGTGTCTCCTGGTCCTGGAGGGAAGGAATAGTAAAGAAGCCAGAGGCTGGCCTAGCATGCAATGCAGGCAAGAAAGCCAGCTAGTCAGTGAAAATGGAAATGAAGGCGTCATGGGGTGAGAAACAGGCAGTAGGGGGATGTAGCAGCATAGGTAAAAGTGCAGAAATACCTGGGGAGTCGGGATGTCTGGCAGGTCGCAGGGTTTGGTGTCATCACCCCAGCTTGGTGTCATCTGCAGACTTGCTGAGGATACACGCCATACCATCTTCCATGTCATTGATGAAGACATTGAACAAAAGCCAGAAGCAACCCCTGGGATACTCCACTTGATACCAGCTGTCAACTAGACATCGAGCCATTGATTACTACCCTCTGAGCCCAATGATCCAGCCAGTTATCTATCCATCTTACAACTCATTCTTCCAGCTCATACTTCCTTAGCTTGCCTGAGATAATGTTGTAGGAGACCATATCAAAAGCCTTGCTAAAATCAACGTATACCACATCCACTGCTCTCCCTGCATCCACAAAGCCAGTCGTCTCTTCATAGAAGGCAATCAGGTTGGTTGGGCATGACTTGCCCTTGGTGAATCCCTGCTGACTGTTCCTAATCACCTTCTTCTCCTCCAAGTGCTTAGAAATGGAATCCTTTTGGATCTGTTTCACAATGTTTCCAGGGACTGGGGTGAGGCTGACCAGCCTTTTGATCCCTAGATCCTCCTCTTTCTTAAATATGGGTACTATGTTTGCCCTTTTCCGATCATCTGGGATCTCTCCTGATCACCATGAATTTTCAAAGATGATGGCCAGCAGCTCTGCAATCACATCAGTCAACTCCCTCAGCTACCTTGGGTGCATCCCATCTGGCCCTACCGACTATACAGGTTTGAACGTTCTTAGGCTTTGCTGAAAATTAGTTGCATGTTAATGGGTAAGTGCTCTAACCACTAGGCTACTGTGTAGAAGATAGGAGCCAGCTTCTCCCCTGGTAGCCACATATGGAACAAAAACAACTCTAACTCTTTTTGTGAAAAGCCCAATCCTGTTGCTGTTAGGTGTTTTCTGAGCATGCCTAAAATAATGCTTTCCTGTTTCACAGGTGTGTTGTGAAGCTTCACTAGTTAGTTTTATGTGATATCTTGTATCTGCAGGTAACTAGTGAAGCTTCACAACACACCTGTGAAACAGGAAAGCATTATTTTAGGCATGCTCAGAAAACACCTAACAGCAACAATATTATTTCCAATAACTTCAAGAAACAGATACCACCAGCAGTCTAGTCCCCAGAGGTCTGAGAACTTGGATGTGATTCTAGATGCTGTTAGTTACCTATGGTAGTAACAACTCCACAACCATAAAATTCCTTTATTCTCATCATAACTTCAACATCACTTCCCTAATCTGGCTATACCCCAGAGACCAAATAAACAGCTATGACAGAATATAGGTTTGGGGAGGTCCCTTTCAGGTTCATTATTCCTTTTGTTCATGTCACCTATGCCACCTCCGGTCACTTGGACAGAGATGAAAGACAAAGGTGACTTGGCAGGATATAGTATATAGAAGACGACATCAATGCACTGAGATATATTAACCTTGAAAAGTTCACGAAAAATCTCCAACAGCTAAAACATTATTGTCCACTTGGCCATTATGCCGAGCCCTGCTCTAAATAATCTGTGTGCTTTCTTCCAGTTTCAATCCATCTCAACACAGATCTAGTTGTTCTCATCTTTCTAAAAGATCACAAAAGCCTTTGCATTTCCAAACAATTTCATTTTCAATTCAAAGTATATGGCATAGCCCAATGTCCTGGTGGAGGGAGAGACATAGCTGGCATGTAAACCTAGTGTATCCATTTGAGGCAGTCAGTATTGTTTAGAAGCATCTTGTCTAAATTGATTACTGTTCAGTACCGGTATGGCAGTCACACAGTTCCTCCCCTTGCGAAGAGTGTGAGCCTTCATGATGCTGATTACCTTTCCAACTGACGCCAATCAAAGCTGTGATTACCCAGCACTGCTGAAAGTTAGGCCATGCCTGAAGAGGAAGTGCATGTTTTTAATCACATACTTTTTATACTTATTTTATGAAGCTGTATCATGCAAGGAGAGAAAGTAGATCTAACTTGAAATAATGAGGGGCATTGAAACCTAAACACCCTCTAGCTTCCTTTCTGTTGATTAATTTGCAAACAGTAGCCTTAATGCCACAAAGTTTAGACATATACTTGCCAATCAAATGCGAGGGAGATTGACCCTTGTGAACAAATATCTGTTTGGCCTCCAGTTTCCACTGCAAGTCAAAACATGTACCCCACTTCATTTGAAAATCTGCCTTGTTAGAGGTCATTGCACATTTAAACCTGAGATACAGCCTAAAGAAAAGCAAAAACATCTGTTTTTTTGGTAAAAGTCATCTCCGGGTGGAGAAAGCAGTCACCAGTCCGAAATGGTATCAAGCCATTCTGAATCCTCACATTGTACTCAGGAAATATTGAGTCATCCTAGACAAGGCTGTGCAGAGTAACTGTAGGATATGGAGAAAAGGCTCAGATTGTGGCTGGCTGAGCATGTAAATTATTAATGTTAGATGATGAGTAATAATGGTCTCTTCCCTTTTTCTTCTATTCTTTTTCTTTTACCGGTCCCTCATTCCTGCCCTTCCTCCCCTCCTTCCCCAACACGCCTAACCCCTCCCATCATCAAGCAGCAAACAAAAGGCTCAACGAAGTGATAATTAAGGAATGTCAGCTATCCCTGAGTTCATTTCCTTCTATGTGACACCACCATTCAGTGATGCTTTGTCTATACTCGTTGAATCAGGAAATTGTCTGTCTGTGTGTGTATACAGTGTTCCCATCCTGACTAGTGGCTTTGGGTACCACAGTAGTATAGTCATTCTCATTTATTCATTTTCTCCCCAATCCATCTCTTATGCACAATAGAACAACTTCAGTAACTCTGCACCACTGAATAGCAGATGTCCAGAGAGAATGCCCTGATCACCAGGCCATGTGGTTTTGAATCCCATCGGGCAGAGGTGGGAACTGAACTCCAGTGTAGTGCGTTCTGAGGGTGCATTTTAACCACTGCATGTCAATGGTGGACATAGGCAGTCATATCTAGTGGTTAGGCCCAGGGTTGCCAGCAAGTCTGGGGCCAGTTGTCAAGTCAGAGCATGGATGCCAAAAAATAGTCAGAAACTGGCCAGAGTCAAGGAGGCAGAGTGGTGGTCAGGAACCAGCCAAGACTGAGCCAGAGCCAAGAAGCTTCAAGTCCTTCAGAGCCAAGAAACCTCAGGTCAGAGGCTGAGTCATAGTCGGGCATATATCAATGGTCAAAATCCTGACATGGATACCAGGAGTGACAGTAGGGACCAGAATCAAGGCACAGTACCATCATAAAGGCAGCCTAAAACCTCACCAAGACATGCTGCATAGGTAGTTCACCACAAGTTAGCAAACTGGTTTAAAATCTGTGTTTTGGCTGAGGTCAGTTCCATACCAATATAGCAGCCAGTAAGTAATCAGAGGCCTCAAATATGAAATGTGTAACCACTCCTGGGAGTAGACCAAAACCCTGGACTCCCTGATTCCAAGACTACTCACTGGCCATAGAGATATGCTCCTTCTTGCTTGTTCTCCTATTGGTCCCATGGCTCTTGCATTCTCAGCTGCACAGTGGTCCATCTTCAAGAATAGGGGTGGAAGGTGCCCATCCCAAATTGTTTCATAGCCCAGTGTTTGGGACACTCTCCTGTGAGTGTGGTGTAGGCCTCCGTTGTGGTCGAGGACTGAAACAACATGATGACAAGTGCAGACTCTGGACCAAGCATACGCCTAAATTATAATAGTATGTGTTTAAGCTTCCATTTTAGCCATAGTCTAACCAAATATAGTTTTATGACCGATATTTGTGTTGAGCTTTCTTAGATAAGTTGTAAAAACAAAGCCACCTTCTCAGTGAAGACTACAGATAAGGTAAAGGGAAAGGAGGACAGTGTAGAGCACCATTCCATGATAGCCAAGGGAAGGAGATAAGAAATCCTCCCACCTAGAGGGAACCTTCACAAGAACATAAATTCAAACTGACACCTAAGTCGACAAGAAAACTGGTTCAGTTCAATACCAAACGTTTCAGTGAAACAAAGAAAATTGAAGAAAGCCAATCGGAGAACAAATATTAGAATAAGACATCTATAAATCTAGAATATAGGCTTGAGGGAAAATGGGGGAACTCCATAAATTCAAGAAGACCTGTTGCCAGTCTGTGTTCGAGCTGGTGAGAATCTGTATTATGATGTTTTATTTTGTGAGGTAGCTATATGGGCATTGGAATACATATTTATCCGTGTGCTTTTGGGATATGAAAATAAAAGGGCAGTACACTTCTCTCTTGCCTCTTTTTGTTTTTGTTTTTGTTTTTTTTGTTTTGTTTTGTTTTTGACTGGTTGGTGATTTAATTAAGGGAATTGGAACTGTATGTTAATTTTGTGTTTAAAGGATAAGCATTAAGGGCATGCTATGTCATGGGTTTTGTGTTGGGGTTGACGGTGTAGCTTTACTAAGAGGTTACAGTGGATTTGTTTAGGATGGTTTGCATTGGGATGATCCTGCTTCAGGGCAGGGCATTGGACTAGATGACCACTGGAGGTCCCTTTCAGACCTCTGTGATTCTAAGGGGATTGTCACTGTACCTTAATTCTGGGGTAAACTTGCAAAAGTGGTCCTGATCACAGGCAGGCTATAGCTTCTTCTCTGCAGAGGCTGAACAGTAAGGTGCTTTTGGTAACAGTAGGAGATGTACATTTGAATCCTTCCAGATTGGAAAGGCTCTATCACTTGCTTGGGAAATGCTCTAAGCATTAGGCTGCTCTGCAAAAGGTGGACCCAAGAGCCATCATCACCACCATTCAGAAGAGCTCAGAAGAGCACTCTAGGCATATCCCCCACTTAGTGTTCAACTTTATGCTCTAGTTCCTAAACCAAGTTGAGCCAGCTGTCTGAGCTTCAGCGAGGAGTGGATAAGGATATTCAGACACAGAGCTCTGTTTAGTGTTTCCCATCAGCTTGCTCTAAGCAGCTCTCCACTCAGCATCTGGGCTTTCAGCTCTTCAAAGGCACCTATCTCTCTCTCATTGACTGTATAAGGGGCCAAAGTGTCTAAAGTACTTCCTCTTGAACTTCCCTTCTGGGTCCAGGCACCTAATTTTTAAGCATGCTGAAAGCTAAAATGGAGGCACCTACCAAGCCAATCTTGATTTTTGCCCTATGGGTGTAAACGGATGTTATATTTCTTTTGGGAGAAAGTCTTCTGTTCAGGGACCCTCTAGCCTATTGTACCATGTTAAGTACCTGTGAAGTATGAAGATAAAACATGTAGGTCTGCAAGTTAACCATGGATCATTTAACTTAATTGCCAGAGCTGTGTGCACTCCCTGGTCAATAAGCAGCAATGCATTCTGGAAGGGCTAGGTGTGTAAAGGGCTGTGCAGTAGGCCTGTGCAAAGCAGCTAGTATTTGCTTTGGATTCAGATTCGGCCGATTCGGGGGACAGTGATTCGATTCGGTGATTTGAATCACTGTCCTGAATTGATTCAGCCGAATCTGATTTGGAGATTCAGCTGCAGCTGATTCAGCCAAATCTCTGAATCACACAGGCTCCATCCCCTGTCCGCCCCAGCTCCCAGCTCTTGGAGGGAAAAAAAAAAACCCCCACTCAGTGGCTCCTGCCCAGCAGGGATGGGGAGGGAACACTGCTGCCCCGCACTGCCCCATGCCATGTGGGGGGCTTTTCCATGAGCCCCCCGACTGCTGTCCCCCACATAGCTGCCCCACCAGCCCTTTAAAAACAAAAAAACGCTGGCCTCACCGGCTCCTGCCTGGAGGTGGGGAGTGATCCCAAATACCCCATGCTGTGTGGGGGCTCTTCCACAAACCCTCCCAAGGCCACTGCAGCAGCCAGTGAGTGCAGGGTTTTGTTTGGTTGGTTTTTTAAAGGGCGGAGCTGGGACAGGCAAGGCAGCCGTGGGGGGAGTTGGGAAAGTGGGTGGGGTTTAGGGGGCTAATGGCAGAGCCCCCCCATGTAGTGGGGGCAGTGGGGATTGCCCCCCACCCAGCAGCACCTGGTGAGTAGGGCCTTTTTAAACAACTGGGAGCTGGGGTGGATGGGGCAGCCATGCTGGGAGGAGGGCTGGGGGAGCAGGCAGGGGTTGTGGGGGCTGGGGGAGCAGGCAGCCCTCAATGGCTTGCCAAAACTCAGTAAGTGGCCCTCTGCCCAAAATAATTGCCCACCCCTGACCTAAGATCTATGGCAGAGGAAGGATATGAGCATTCCCTCGGGTCTTCTGAGACCAGAGCTATAGGACTGATCACTAAGCCATCCTGTCTGTCCGTATTGAAGGCGTTTTGTATTGAAAGTAAAAGCACTACCACGGCCAGGTCTCTGTATCTGTTTATTTTAGATAACTGGCAAATGTCCAAGGATTCACCTATTTCACTTTCAGTCCATCTTCATCCGCTCTTGCTGCTTTCTCCCTGTTTGTTTTTTCACCTGTTGGATGCACTGGACATGCAACCTGCTTACTAGTGCAGATAGTATAGTAAATAATACATACATTTCAGGGAGGACTCAGTTGCATAATTCACAAAAAAACCCCAAACAATTTTATAGGCATTGCTGTTTAGTATCCCTGACATTTTTAGCAAGTGTAATAAAACACCTTTATAAAGTTAGGGAGAACTGCATGTCAGCTTAAAAAAAAAAAAAAAAAAAAAAAACCAAATGAAAGACACAATTTGTTTTATCTACAATAGATTTCTTTAGTAGATTTCTAATGAAATATAGAGACTGTTTTCCTGTCTAGTAGGCAGGACTAAAAACCAGAAAGGTTCCATATTTTATTCAGCGAGTGAGTAGATTAGAAAATAAGGTACAGGAGAGGAAGGATGAAGAAATCCTCAGTAATTTTTCCCTTTTGCTCAACTTGGGAATACAGGAATACTATCATGCTTGCTACCACTTTAACAGTAAGCAGTTCTCATTTGGCAAGATACCAAAGGCCAGATCACCAGGTGGTGTAATCAGCAGTCCTGCTGATATCAAAAACTATGCTAGTTTATATTAGTTGAAGACTAGACTCGGAGATCTATAGGCCAGAGCAGGACAATTCATCGATTCATAGAAATTAGGGCTGGTCGGGACCTTGGGACCCCAACTCAAGACAGGATTCTCCCCATCTAAATCATCTCGGCCAATTTGACACGTACCACTTTTGATTACTGCTTAAAAGCACGAGAGAGGCAAACCACCTTTCCTCCCAAATGGTTCCCTAGACCGTGATCACATTCAGTGCTATGGCACGGTTCCTGTAAAGCAGCCTCTCTTTCTTCTTCCAGACACATTTTTGAGGCTGCATTTTCACATCCACAACGGACCTGCAGGCAGAAATCTGAGGCTTTCACTTCTAATAGCCTTTCCCAGCAGAAATCAGTCTTTGTCGCCCTTTTTTCTTTTTTTTTTTTTCAAATGGTCCCTTTGCCAGGAGAGTTGGCACAAAGGCACACACCAAAGCTCTTCTGGAGGAAACAAAAATGTCACTTAGAGCTAATTTTCTCTGTTATTAGACATTTGTATGGAAAACATACCTCCGCTTTGTCATTCGGATGTACTTCTGCATTTGCAACCTTCATGCCACAGGGCTGCTGCCACAGAGGAACAGGCAGTGATGTGGGCTCTCCAAGGGCTGCTCTTGGTACCCCATTTGCTCCCCTACACCTGGGGGCAGGGCTGCAAAGCCCTGAGGGTAGGGAGCCTTTCCACCACCCCTCCTGTTCCCTAGATATCGTACAGGACATGGGGCTGCACTGGACTTCTAGGGCTGGGTAGGGACTATGCAGGGCTGCCCCTGCTGTGGCAAAGATTTGTGAAAGGGGGTGGGTCACACTGGCACCCTCCTTCCCTTTCCCCCCCCTTCCCCTTCCCCCCCCCCCCCATAGTCACACCTGGGGATAGTACCTAGCTTGCCTAGGCTTAGTTACACTGCTAAGGTTTAGTTCTTTTCCTAAGCTACATTTGTTTGAGCAGAAAGAAAATCTCCAAATATGAATCAAGTATAACTAAAGCAGTGTCTTCCTGAGTCTGCAGGAAGTCTGGACCACACTGCTGCTACCATAGTCATGGCCAGATGTCTTTTCTACCCACCTGGACTGAGTTGATTCAGAAATTATTCGCTTTTCAGCTTTTGATGATGCCTGGAAAACCTCAACGCTCCCTAAATCCCACTTAAAGCAATTCATTTATATGAAGTGCATTTATCTGTCCACAATCGTTATCAAGGAGGATAGCATCAGAGGCTTTCTCGACCATTCACTCTTGGAGTATTACCATAACATCATTTGAGGTACAAATGTCTTAAAGCATCATTCACTAGAAGATAAATGAAGCCCATGGAAAAGCAGAAAACCTAACAAAGAGTCCTTCCTCACAAAGCAAATTCACACTTCAAGGTAAAAATAAATAGCAGTTGTTTAAGACCATTATGAAAGGTGCTGGTCTTAAGTTGCAACAAGAGAAATATGGGCTGGATATTAGGAAGAACTTTCTAACTATATAAGGGGCCTGGTGTTACAGATTACCCGGTAAAGTTGTAGAGTTTCCATCCCTGGAAGTTTTTAAGAGCAGGTTAGATAGACATTTGGTGAAAATGGTTTGAATAGGGATGATCCTGCCTGAAGCAGGTTGAAGGCAAAGTAGAGACCTTATAGTCTCTGATCCAATTAGTCTAAGTGACCTCTTGAGTATAGTGATAATTGGGTTCAATAAACACAGGCAGACATGAATGAGAAGAACTAAACAACAACCTTTAATTGTGGAGCAGCAGGCAAACTTTTCTCTGCAGACCCTCTGTCTTCCTCTAACTAACAAGCTACTCCCTAACTCAGGGACTGACTCCCAGTTCCTAACTTCCTCAGTCTCCAGTGCCAGGGAGCTTCTTGAAATTATATTTCTATCACTACACTGAGGACTTTTCCAGCCCATTTTTAATACAATTGTACAACTTGCATCACAGGCATTTTCTAAGCTGAATGACTACCTTTTGTCTTAGCAATTTATCTGCATTTCATATGTACTCTGATAGGTATTCACTTTATTTTATGCTTGCATTTTTCCCTCTCCCGTAAGAAAGATGGGTTATTTTTAGGAGCTATCCACTGAAGTTGCACTGAAAGAACCACATTAATTTTACTTTACATATTACTGTCTTACATTATTTCCATGACATTCCAGGCAAACCTGGTTTGATTTTTTTTTTTTTTAAGGGTTTATTTTAAAAGAAAACAGATTTTTGTACTAAATTAAATGCACTTGAGTTAAAATAAAAAATCATTACATAAATGGTCCGTGCCCTACATACTTAAGGGACAGTCTTCTCCCTTATGCTCTATCCTGATCCCTAAGGTCAGCCAAGAGCAACCCCCTGCAAGTAGCATCTGCATGCCAAGTTTATTTGGCAAAAATACATGGGAGGTTGTTCTCAGTAGACGCTTCTCAGCTCTGGAAGTCTCTGTCCTCTGTGGCCCATCTGAACCCTGGACATTACCCAGAAGCAATGTATGACCATTCCTGGGGGCAGGTTTTGGCTGGACTGGTTAAGTTTTTTGGCTGCTGTCTGAGAAGTTTATTATAGTCTATTTAATTTAATATACATCTTGCTTTTAGAGTAAACTGCCCTAAGCCTTTTCTGGGGAGGGCAGCATAGAAATCTATTGAATGAATGAATGAATATTGAATTTGAAATTATGAGTGATTGATTATTAAATTCTAAATTTACTAGAAATGACTAAAATCCTTTAATTTAATTTTAAAATAATAGCCAAGTGCTGACTTTTTTCTTTCTTTCTTTTTTATAGAAAGTCACACCACTGAATGGGTGGAAGTTCCTGGCTAAACATCCGGAACCAATTTGCTGAGTTTGCCAAATCAGGTTTTGACAGCAGTGGCCTCTTCTATAGACAGAAAATTATTTTCTTCAGTTCAGTTTAATCAACTAGCTCAGTTCAAGGACTCATTCAAAACTGAGAAGCCAATGGGAAATTCAAAAAACAGGAAGGCTTGTTTTCCTCCTCTTTTTTTATGGATAAAAATCAGTTGTAAGGACATAAGCTCTACTCCTTCTAGAATACTGAACGACATGGAGACCTGAAATGATTGGTTCAGTTGACTAAAAATGACACTTCATTTGATTAATAAATCGGCTAGTTTAAAATATGAAATATGCTTTGATTAACTATCCAGTACATTTAAAGCTAGTTTTATTAAGATTTTTTTTTTTAATGCTCTACTTTTGCTTTTTAAATGGAATGCTAATTTCCATCCAAGCACAGCTAGACACAAATCGTAACCAAGGCATTACACATTATCCAAAAGCAGGGAAAAAAGATAACTCATTCATAGTTTTCTAATATAAGAAGACAAAAATTAAGGCTATGACTAAAAGCATAATTGCTTAAAAGAATAGCTATTGCTTATCTTTCTGGTTAGCATAAATACTACTGAGTTTAGTGAAAACTCTGTTTACTCAACGTGCTGTTATGGTTATCAATCACTGAGTGCACCTATATGTGCAATTAATGTGGAGCGATTAAATTCCAGCACATATCACATCACAGTTTATTGCTCTCAGGCTGGCAAGGGCTGCTCCCACTCGGCTCAAAGTGCTGCAGAGGGGCTGGTGGGGCATGAGGGTGCTTCAGTGCCAGGTTAGCTGGCAGGCAGTCCCCCAAACTGAAGCACCCTCATGCTCCAACCAGCCAGGGCAGTGCTTATACTTGCAGTACTGAAGAGTAAAAAAAACTCCACAGCAGGAGAGCACTTGTGTTTACAATTTACAAGCACTATCCTTCTGCTGAGTTAATGAGTTTACTCCAGTCTAATAGTCTAATGTAGACAGGAAACGTCTTGTGTACATGCACCCACAGAGAATAAAACCTTTCACTAAGAAAAGATACAGAAACAAAAAAAATATTAAAATTGATCATTTTTAAATCTAGGAAACCTGGATTTCATTGTGATTCAAACTGCTGGAAAGAAGGAGATGGAGTTGCTACTGTTGTCACATGGTTTTTGTAGAACAGCAGTAGTGAGAATACCTGCCTGCTAAGGGGGAGACCTGGGTTATATCCCCACCCACAACCTAAAGGGATTCTAATCCACATCTTTCACCTCCCTGGAGCATGCCCTAGCCGTAAGTCTATAAAATAGTCTGAGTCAAAGCACTCTTCGCTGCTCCTGTTGTTGCCCACATTTCTGCAAAAGCCATTGATGGGGCTGCTCATGTTAGTGTGAATAAATGGTGTAAAATCAGACTTATTATTATCATCAGATAGGACACATCACCAGTAATCAAAGAACCATAGACTAAGACTGAATGGGACTTCATTCCCGTGCCCCAAGGTGGGAATAATTATTTCTAACCCAATCCTGAAAAATGCTGATCTAGCTTTTCTTAAAAACCTCCAAGGATGGAGACTCCACAGCCTCCCTTAACTCTTCTAACAGTCAGGAAAATTTTCCTCATATTAAACCAAAATCCCTATTAGCTCTTCTTGGCCATCCCTGTAGACAAGGAGATGGGTTCATTACCTTCGTTCATGCAACATGTTTTAAGTAATTGAAGACCGTTATCATGCCCATCCTCAGTCTTCTCTTCTCTCTCTAAACAAATATAGTTCTTT